ATAAATATTGAAATATGACTATATCTTTATTTCTAGGATGCTCATACTCTTGACTGGACCGAGTTCAAAGAAATGCCAGCCAATATTACTGCATTCCGATTTATTGACCCTGCCAGCGATGTAATAAAGAATATTAGAAAAATATGGAGGGTGGACGCAACTAATATTAAGGTATGTTTCGTAATAAAATATGGTGTACTTTGAAATAGTTGGTAGTATTTAAAAAAAAATAAAAACTGTATATTTAATACACTAGCGACATTAAATGATATATATTTTAAGCGATATGAAATGTATATATTTTAGAATAGAATCTAACTACCTAGAATATACCGGGTGGTGCATCGTCGTTGAAAATATCGGAAATTGCATGCAAATTTTGAACTGTCCATATATTGGTTTCCCTGTTAATTTGACAGCGAAGGTATTAATAGGTCTTTAAAGGTCTGGGTATGCTGAATACACATGCCAAATTTGAAGAATTTTGGACAAGCCGATTTTAAGTAATTTATGAAAAACTGCATCTATTTTTAAATTAAAACTGGGGAGATAACAATGCAAAACAAGGCAAAGGCCAAAGTAGGTACCTCAAATTGTCATACAAGTAAAATAACTCTGTTATTTTAGACTTATTTGAAAAGCGGTAAAGAGAAAAGATGTTTCTTTTATTGAGATCTAACAGCCCTGAATATATTTGCATTTATTTAAGACTCTCTCTGTATATTCTGGTGCTGTATAAAGGCTTCTTAAAAATCCTCCGGTTAATTTTAAACATTTCAATCTACCAAAATTCCGACAAAGCTGAATTTTGGTAGAGACCTTGGGTTTACCATTATAAAGTAGAAGGAAGAAAAAATTTATTCTGCTAAAAAGTTATTCAAGGTCAGATGTCAATTTTTTTTTTGGATTTTTCTCATAAATGGTAAGTTTTTTCAAAAAAAATAGCCCAGACCAAAACTGTAGCTTATATTATTATCTAAAATAATAGTCCTTACACTTTTTTATTAAGAATTGCCATTTCTGAGTTGCTCATTTAAAATTTCGATCGAGTTATTTTCTATACATTATACACACATTTCCAGGCCACTTATGACGTAGTGTTCTCGGCACGGTTTTTGTATCAAATTCATGTTCTGCCTAGATTACTACTTAATTTTTCTTTGTTCTGTAACTCAATAACTCTTTTTTCAATGTTTCATAACTTAATGGTATATGATTCGCAGTTCTTATTCCTTTTTTAATTTACAATACGGATTACCTCCCTATAATGCTCTCTTAATTAACTTGTAAAATTCTAACTACTCGGGATCCATCAGTCCTTAATTACTTTTAAAATAATTAAACCTCGATATATTTTACTGGCTCTTAATTTTTGGCTTGACAAAATTTTAATTAAAAGTAGATCACCAAGCGTTTTAAATAATAAAACATTTATTATTAATAAAGTAAGTTTTAAATAACATTATTAAGTACGCAATTTTGATTTATTATCATAATTCAGTACTTAAATCTAACTAACTTATCAACTGATTTTTTATATTTTATGTACAATATATTTTTTTGGTAAAACAACGGACAAAATAAAATGGAATAAGCTACTGATTTAAACAACAGAATTTTAATTAAATATTTGTAATAAAAGTTAGAGAAATAACTTTAACTAATTAAAGTTACAATAACATAAAAATATAGATATAGCTCAATAAACTGCCTTGATACATTTTCAGACCGTATTTGCTTTCGGTTCATACGTCATTGTCAATATTTTATAATACACATTAATAATTAATTTCCATTGATGATAAAATTTAGAATTATTTTAATAATCTCCAATTCAAAATTGGACAAAGAATATTGACCTTTATAATTTTATGTATTATATTAAATATTCTATTTAAATTTTAATATATTTATGTTTTTAATAATATATTTGGCAATATCAAATTATGTTTAAACAATAATTAATAAAGTTATATAATCAAATATAAATAAATATAATTAATTGAAAATAACTTTTTTTATGTGTCTTATATTTAATTTTTTTAACATGTAACAAGAGCACCGTCTGAATGATTTTTATTAATATGAGATACATAAAAAATGTCTATACCTCTGTGGGGGATGCTTCTTCCCAAAAAAGGCGTTTCAAAAAAAATAAGAATGATGGGAAAACAATATAACATACGAACATCCTTCAAAACAGACTTCTAACATCTTATAGAAGTTATCAAAGAACTGTACACCGATAACATCAGTTATATAAAACAAGGAAAGATACTCTCGGAACCCATATGTACAACGAAAGGTCTGAGACAAGGTTGTTCCGTATCCCCTCTTTTGTTTAATATTTACCTGGAGATAGCTCTTAGGAGGTGGAAGAGATCATGTCAAGGAATGGGTATTCCAATTAATGAGGAACATCTTCTGACACTTAATTTTGCAGACGATCAAGCAGTATTTGCTCAAAATTCCTTTGACATGGAGTTTATGCTCAGGAAACTATATACTGAGTATCAGGAATGGGGTCTAGAAGTCAGTTTAGAAAAAACAGAATACTTGGTATTAAATTCCGACGTCAAATTTGATATTCTAATTGACGACAAGGCAGAAATACAACAGGTAGACACATTCAAATATGTAGGAGCTGTAGTTGATAAAAATGGAATCGGTGGGACAGAGATACGACAGAGAATTCAGAAGGCGAGGAGAGTGGTAGGGGCACTCAACTCAATCTGGTGGGACAAACATATTAATATAAAGAATAAAAAACATATTTGCCAAACTATGGTAGAATCTGTCTTATGCTATGGGAGTGAGATATGGGCCCTAAGAGAAGAAGATAAACGGAGAATATTGGCTGTAGAGATGGATTACTTACGTAGAAGCGCTAGAGTGTCCAGGTTACAAAGAGTGAGAAACGAGGAAATCAGAAAGAGAACATCGGCACAAGAAACCGTAATTCAACGAATAGAGAAAAGAGGTTTGAGATGGTTTGGTCATCTAATGGGGATGGAGGACACAAGATGGCCAAAACGTGTATTCAAATGGTCACCCACCGCAAGAACCAAAAGGGGACGCCCGCGTCGGTCCTGGAACGATGGTATACGACAGGCGATGAGAGATCGGAATATCGAAGATCTCGTGTATGACAGAGATGGCAGGCGATTGAGACTGGGAAGGCAACATTTAGTTGTATAATCTGTATAGTACAGTAACTGTATTTTTATAAGATTAATCCCAACTATACAGGGTGATTCCTGTAAGTCGGCCATGCTTTCGAGGAATGATAGGGGACGTCAAAATATTAATTTTGATATAGCCACTATGTGTCGAAATGCCTCTTCCGCAAGATACAGGGGTGTTAACGATTTTTGAAAAATTAAAGATATTCTTTAATAGTATTTTTTTAACAGTTAAAGGTATTGTTATAAAATTTTATTATAGGAGTCTGCCTAACAGAGACACTTTGAATGTAAAAAGAAGAGGTTTTAGTTTCAACCAGTGGCGTAGCTGTGATACGCATCGGGTAATATTTTCCAAAAAAATAGTACGCCACTGATAAAAATAAAAATTTCGGAGTTTTTTTTTTATTTACATGGTTTATTTCCAAGAAAAAATGTCTCTTGCAACTTTCTTCTATCTAACACCACTTTGTCACAATTTAAAAATAAATATTTTTTTAATGAGAACCTTAAATATGCGAATTATTATAACTACCTTAAACTAAGAATTTTATTATTAACAATAAAAAAAATCTAGTTCAAATTTATAATTTTTTAAAAATTGATTTAGAGCTAGTAGTAAAAAGTACTAAAGTTACCCAAGATGAAGGGAGCTAACGATGCACATGTGTTTCTGCCCTCTAGTTATAATAATTCGCTGTATTTGAGACTCTCATTAAGAAAATTATTTATTTTTAAATTGTGACAAAATGGTGTTAGATAGAAGAAAGTTGAAAGAGACATTTTTTCTTGGAAATAAACCGAGTAAATAAAAAAATCTCCGAAATTTTTATTTTAATCAGTGGCATACTATTTTTTTTGAAAACATTACCCGATGCGTATCACATCTACGCCACTGGTTGAAACTAAAACCTCTTCTTTTTACATTTAAAGTGTCTCTGTTAGGTAGATTCCTATAATGAAATTTTATAACGATACCTTCAACTGTTAAAAAACTATTAAAGAATATCTTTAATTTTTCAAAAATTTTAACACCCTATATCTTGCGTACGAGGCATTTCCGACCCATAGTGTGCTATATCAAAATTAATAGTTCAACGTCCCCTATCATACCTCGAAAGCATGACCGACTTACAGGAATCATCCTGTATATATAACATCCTTCAAAACACAAAATACACTTGGATCCATTTCAACACACACTAAACCAATAAACAGTGGACAACAAACAAAAAATGTAATATACAAAATACTATGTGAATATGATAAATTTTATATTGGTGAAACATCTAGACCCTTAAATGTTCGAATTAAAGAACATAAAGATTATTTAACAAGAGGCAATTTTCACAAATCTAACATTTTTCAGCATTCATGGGACACAGAGCCAAGAGTAGATTTTACAAAGCAAAAATTATGATGAAAAGCTATGGAATCTAAAGAAAAATAAAAGAGGCTTTTTTTAACACAATCTAATAAAAATAAATGTATTGCTCATGCATCTCTATATGTTAGTAATGTATGGCAATCGCTTCTTTGATTTTAAAGAACATAACATAGATAAACAAAGCATACGTAAACATTAAAAACAAATTAAAAAATAATCATACAGAAAGTTTGAAGCTTTTTCGTTTTACTTTATAATAATTGCATTTATATATTTTAAATAGTTTTTTTCTTTGTTCTTTGTGTCTTTTTGCTTCGACGACGGGAAACTTTCCGAAACGTTAAGCATTTTTTTGTCCGTTAGTAAAATTTGTTTTTTAGTAAACCACTGCCGACTATTAGTCTCTATTGGATTAACGCAGCAGTGTTTACAAAAAAATAACTATTTTATTTTGTAGATTTTCTTACAGTGCGAAAATACCCATAAGACTTTTTTGGAGAGATTAGATACATATTTTATAAGAATAAAATTGCAGGTGGTCGAAAGTTAATATCATATTTGATTAACTAACCATTTGTAAGTTAATAATTTTTTTAGAGAATCCTAAATTCACATATTATACAGGGTGAGTTCTCTATACAGATGTTCTCTATGGCTATCTCGGAAACTACTGGAGATAGAGAGTCGGTTAAATGGGGAAAGAATTGAAGTTTTGTGGGGTCATAAATATGCTCCTTTCAGATTTCTGAAAAAGTTCATGGCTTACTAGGTAATTCGAAAAAAAAAATTTTGGCTATTTTAAAAATTGCCCCTAATTTCATTATAATCTATTTTAGACAAAAAGTTTTCAGATAAAAGTTGTAGATCATCACATCCCTAATGAGTTTGTATTCTTCGATTTTTACTAAAGTCTATCATTTATGACACATGACACAAACATATGTTTTTTTTAAATGGAAACTATAATTGGCCATGCCTTCATAAGAAGCGCCATTTTTTAAGCTTTTCAACGATATAAGCTATAATATGTTTTTTTTTCACAAAATTACTGAGTTATACCGAATTCTTATCTTTCTTGACTAATTTCACTTAGTTAGCCATGGAAACAATTTCATTCGTCGTTGCTCTCAGAAATGTGAAACTGTCACATACAAACTTTGTAAATTAAAATAAATAAAAAATTGTAAATATGAATTTTTCACCGAACCAAACCAACCAAACCAATTGCATGGGCCTCCTCGATCACCTGATCTATCCATTTTATATTTTTTATGCGGTATGGTTAACAACAAGATTTACAAAAGAACCGATGAATTAAGAGAGGCACTCGAAGAGGCGGTACAGAAGTTTAATTAAGTCGACCGGTCATTCTGTGAGAATAGCTAGAAATTCAGTTTTAAAAAGATGCATTTATGTACTCAAAACAATGGCGGATTTTTTGACCATTTTCTAAAATAACTTAAACTGTATGTAGTGATATTATTTTCTTAAGTTTTAGTTTGTGTAATGTAAATTGCAAAGAGCCGTTTAATAATATATTTTGTATTTTTATAAGTTATAAATCATAATAAAATAAGAACACCATGCCAACTAAGTGAAATCAGTCAAGAAAGATAAGAATAGGCTACAACTCAGTAATTTTTTGAAAAACCGGTCGACTTAATTAAACTTCCCTCGTACTGCCTCCTGTACATATGTATACAATATAAAATTATTTAATAATGTCTATAGTATATCCAGGATGATCCTAAATATTTAGATAAATATATATTTTCAGTTAAAGAATATGATATAAATATTATCTAATAATTTCGTGAAACTTTTAGAAAATTTTGAATCTATCCATACATTTTATCTCAAAAGTTTACTATTTTAAAAAATAATTTCTTCTTGAAAACTTACTTTTAAGTCAAGTTTTTTTTCTTTTTTTTGGGGGGGGCAAATATAAGATCTTAATCTCTGACTTTCTGTGAAAGCTTTTTCTGATTTTATTCCTCGGCTTTGTAAACACGTAATGACAAATAACTAATATTTCTAAATAGCTTTCGAGACGAAAGAATCGAAAGTTTTATGTCAAGGAACTACTAGCTTAATATTTACAATAATGAGAATTCTATAGTCGTTATTCTTCGTACTAGACGAGGGAGTACATACATTTAAAAACCTTAGTATACAAAGCATTACTTTTTATACCCATCATTGCATTAGTTATAAGCAGTTTAATCTTAATTTAATATTTGCGAGAAAACAAAATTAGTAATCATATATTAAAAGAACAGAATAGACAGAGACGATGGTTATATTTCTCCTAGTTTCCCTTTTCTTAATGTTCTAGTTTCAGGTAATTTATAGTTTGTTATTCTCGGTTATGCTTGAAGCTCCACGCTATGCTATGCCAAGCAGGAACACAAATAAATTGATACACAAAAGCAGAACATGCATTGAGTGATAAACGTATGAGATTTTCTGTGCAACTTTAAAGGTTTTTAGGTAAGACGAATTAAAATTTTAACGTCATTTAGCTGATATAGTTAGGTTTGTTGTAAATATTTTTGAATGGCCATGAAGCAAAAAGAATTTCTGATTTTGATTGAATAAGTCGTTGTCTTATAATATCAAAAGACTTTATTTTTCATTTAAACACATATTAAGATATAATAAAATTATATATGGATTCTTGCCACTTAACTGCTAATATAAAAATTTAATTCCACGCTGTGTTTGTCATAATGTGGATCAACCTGCTCTCACTACCGGTTTCGGAACCCTACTCCATTATCAGGTGAGCTTGGGCAAATACCACAAAATGACAAACACAGCGCAGAGTAGTTAATTCCGACTTGTTGAAAAGTATCGGTTAAATATTAAGTTCCGAACGGGAGATAGTGGCCTGCGTGCAATTGTAGTACTTTCGTACCAACGAGGCGCAACTATCGATAGTAAAAAAGATGGTAAAAGGCTTTTTTTCAGACAAGTCAAATTATAAAAATGAAAAACAAATTTCTTGCAGTATAGGTATATAATAAAATTATATAAGGATTCTTGCCACTTAACTGCTGATATAGAAATTTAATTCCACGCTGTGATTGTCATAATGTTGATCAACCTCCTCTCACTACCGATTTCGGAGCCCTACTCCATCATAAGGTGAGCTTGGGCAGATACCACAAAATGACAACTACAGCGCAGAGTAGTTAATTCCGACTTGTCGGAAAGTATCGGTTAAATATTAAGTCCCGAACGGGAGATGCCGCCTGCGTGCAATGGTAGTACTTTCGTACCACCGAGGCGCAACTATCGATAGTAATCACCACTGATAGATAAACCACTGCTGATAATTAGTCTCCGTTGGATTAACACAGAAGTGTTTACAAAATATAATTATTTTATTTTGTAGATTTTTTTACAGTAGCGAAATATACTTAGAATTATTTGGAGAGATGAATCCGCCACAGAGGTATTACTTAGTGTTTAATTATTCTGTATAAATGCAAAATTTCTCAGTTTCATAACCAAATGATATATGATATGCAGTTATTTCATTTTTTTAGATTTATAATACGTATTTTCTGGAACAACGCTCTTTAATTATTTTATAAAATTTTATCTATTTATATATATTTTAATTTAGTAAAGCGTAATTTCATAAATTAATATCTTCAGTTTGATATTAGGTAAAATATCAAAAAGATTAACGGAAGTTTTACTGTAATATAAAATTCAAGAGTTTTATGAGAAAGAATTCAACTCCCCTATCACTTTACCGGCCAATCGCAACTTGAATTCCGCCTCAAAATAAAGAGATCAGAACATTCCGTGGTCCTCTTCTAGTTTTAATTACTTCGCCCACTGAAACTCCCGCCGGACTTCGACAACCGCACAAACATTTTACAGGAAACTCGACGTCAAACGAGCGCGGAGCGGCTGGCTAATTAAAACCCGTTTTTCTTTTCAGACCGGTACGGCCCTGCTCTACGACGCGTTAAACGTTTTCATTACGGCCTTCCGGGACATGGCGGCCAAAGAAGATCCAATAATAAAACCTCTGGATTGCGACGACTACGAGTTTTCGGAGCATGGCCAGAGAATTGGGGAACTCGTTAGAAAGGTAACGTAATTTTCCGTAATAGATTGCTGTTTTTCAATAAACATGGTCTAGATTTTTAAGAGTAAAAAGGCGAGTTTTACTCTATAATAAAGGAAATTGAACATTGTGTGTACGATGAGTCAGTAATAAATTGAACTCGTTATAAAGTAATGTAGTTTACTGTAACAGATTGTTTTTTTTTAAACAACAAAAGATGACTTTTATATTGGTAATGGTAAAGAAAGTCAAACAAACGGAAGAAACAGGTTAATATTTTGTATATGGCGAGTTCGTAATAAAGTTGAGGAGATCATTATTTTTAAATCATTTTTCAAATACCATAAAAAATAATAAGAAATTTGTTCGAAAGGTAACTATATTTCCTGGAATGAACTTGCATTTCTTCTATAATGTTAGAAATTTTTAAAGACAAAGATTACCAGAAAATATTGCTATGTCTGGGAGTGATGTGTTGTATGCAGATGATTGCAACGTAATTGTTAGCGCAAAGTTTTCTTAAGGAAAATTTATTGCTTGGTTAAAAAAATCCCGGAAATTTCTCCATCATTAAATAAATTCCTTTTAAATGAGTATTTATTACTACTTGCACCACGTAACTTAATAAATGAAGCAATAAAGTGCAAAGCGCACCTTGGCATTGAAAAACTACAGAATTTTAGTTTACGTACAAGACAATTTAATTTTCTTTAGTGTTGTTGCTTTATATCAATCGACAAAAATGTATAAAAAAAAAACTAAAGATATAGTGGTACGTTAAAAGTATTAGTCAATATCTATATGTATATTGTGAAATTTTATAAGCAAAATATATTTACTAGAAGTACATTTTCTATTCAAAAACTGTATAAACATACACATTATCCCAAAGGTGGGTCGTATTTCTTTATTGCCTTGTTTAAAATGTAATCAAACAGCATACAGACCGGACCACCACCGTAGTAACATAGGCAGAACTGGACGAATTAGCTTATACCCGTCCGCCGGATAAAAGCATGCGAAAAATGCGATAAAATAAAATAGGTCGATATGTGATAAGAATGTTTCAGAATTTGTATTTATTCGTGTTTTAATAGCCAAAACGAATACGTAGATTCTCGCGACAGTTCTCGTGTAAAATTTATTTTTTAAGTAAAATAATGGATGTTTATGAAGTTCGTGAGGAAATTCAAATTGTAAAATGGTATTTCGAAAATAGGTCTTATCGGGATATACAAACAATTTTTCCACAAACTTTTGTAAACAGGCCAATTCCATCTTTATCTACTATATCAAGAGTTATTAATAATTTTGAAACACATGGGTGCGTGTCACCACAAAAGTGTTAGCTTGTGCTAACGCGGATCAAAATACCACGTTTTCAAGTAATCAAATTGCTGAGGTGGTTGCCCTACCCACAATGCCCGTATTGTTCAAGAATATTTCAACAATACTTTTCCCAACCGTTTAATTAGTGGATATGGAACTATTTTGTGGTCCGCTAGATCACCAGATCTTTCTCCCAATGATTTCTTTTTAGGTAGCTTATAAAAATCCAAAGTGTAAGGAAACATGATAGGGGCTAATAATCTGGATAAGCTTCAAGTAAAAAAATACGAGAGGCTTTCCAAACTATTAGCCCTAATATGTTAGCCAATGTCAGACGTTGGATTTTACGACCGCCTAGGCTTCTGTCTAGCACATGAAGGCGGTCTTTATGAACACTTGTTATAACTTTTTTTAATTTAGAGTGATATTATAGTTTTTTGGGTTTAGAGAATTTATTTATTTTTAGTTTTGGCTTTGTAAACACACTCCAAATAATAATATTTAAGTATTTTTATTTTAAATGTTACCTTAAGTGAAGGTAAAACACACTTAAAATGAAAATAATAAATACACGGCACTCCTCGCGTCATATTCCTAGTCTGTCACGACCGACCCGTCCAAGCACAACTGCAACTGCGTACTGCCTGACCAGCCGACTAGCCGGCAGTGACTCTCGAGTACGAACGCAAAATGGGTAAACGTAAATTCGTCCGGCAACTTGCTATGTTACTAGTCACCTGGTCTTCTCTGTATATAACAAATAAGATTTTTTTTTATATAAATGAAATGGAAAATAATCTAACTACCAGGTGCGTCTCAAAAGTGTTCAAAAAAAATTTCTACTTTATTTGATAGAAAATGACACTTTGTTTAAAAAGTCATATTATATGTCAACTTTTGACATTTTCCCTTTAAAAATCGTATTTTTAGATTTCAATCTAGAGTGCCATGGTAGTGTTAAACACTCTAATTTTTAATCAAGGAGCCTTGGAAACATATATTTTATCGTCTAATGTTTTTCGTGTCTTGTCTTGGTCGGTTAAAACATGCCCGAATCGTATTTTTAATCATATTTCAATTTTTTCAAATGGAACAAGGGTAGCTCATGAGTACATTTGGAGACAGTATTTTTTACGAATGCTTTGGTACCACACACTTGGTATTTCGAGTCAAATTGTCGTTATGAACCGCATGTTACAATTTCAAATAAACCATATGCGAAAAAGTCAAAAGTTGACGTTATTTATATATTCAGAGTGTCATTTTCTATCGAATAAAGTAGAAATATACCACGGGTTCCATTTAAAAATCAAAAGTTGTAGGGGTGAGTCACTTTTGAGATGCACCAGGTATGCATTATATTTTTTATACCTTTCGATATAAAAATTAAAAGTAAAATGTGTAATTTCCTCTTATAATCTGCAAATCTGTTAAATACATATTAGTTCAGCATCGTTTTCCTCTGTTGGGTATATTCATATACATAACAATGGGAACGTAAAAAGGTTAATTATCTGATATTTGGCATGAGGAAATAGTGGTTATTATTAAATAATAGCATTTGAAGTTCAATCTCTGATCGGCATTTATTTAGTTATGCATAAGTTTATTGATTTATTCTAAACTATAAGGTTTTAGTTTTTTGCTATGATACAAAAAATCAATTTTAATAGGCTATTTTGTAAATAGCTTCTGAATAATATATATTTACAGATGTCAACAAAGTTATTCTTCTGTAAACAAGTACATACACTCCTATTAAATTTAGAAATATATAAAACCTGTTCAAAATTCGAAGAAATTGCGGTAATTTATACAAACTGAATAATACAATTGAGTATTTAGTATCATTGATTGTGAACATGAAACAGTTTTACCCACCAAATTCTATGTGAACAAATTAAAGTGTCATCAAGAGAGATATTATTACATCCACGGGTGTTTTAAAACAAATTCGAAAAATTTCAAGAGGTAGCTATCGGTCTGATCCACTGCGATCTTTCCAGATCTATTCTACTATAGCTTTAAGGGTTTATTCATTAACAAAAAGAAAAGGTAGTTCGTTGCATTAACGTTGGGTCAATAGTCAATCACTATCGAAAAAGTAATTATCAAATTGAAGTGGATTGCTTGTGTTTTGAAACACTTTGAAACTTTGTATATATAGAAATGTTAACATTTTTGTATACAATTATAAGACTGGTGAAGGTAAAACCTTATTTCTATTTCGCAGCCTCCAAAAACGAGCAAAAAAATTCTACCAGGCCCATTATCAGGTCCGATATTTTTCGACGACAGCGGCCAAAGAACAAACATCGACCTGCAGATTATCGAAAGGTCTAAGACGGAGGTGGGCTTCAGAGTATCAGGGACGTGGAATTCCAAGAAGCCCAACGTCATCCGGTATGCTGTCACATCGGAGGAAAGAGAGAAGGAACTGCAGAAGGAAATTCAACAGAAGAATTTCAGAGTAGTCTCCAAGTATGGTAAAATAACATAATATTATAATTAACATAAAAATAAAGATGAATTTAGATTAATTCTATTCTTAAATATAATAATTGAGCACGTTCACTGCACCATTCGATTAACTTCACTTTTTGAAAAATTACTCGTTTTATACATTATGTTGTAAGCGCCACATTATTTCGTCAAACGTTAATAGTCAATCAATTGTAGATCCATTTAAAACTAAATTAATCATCCCCAAAAAATAAAACACTTTATAAAATTAAATAAAGAATAAAATTCCATTATAAAGTATTAATTAAAAACTACATATATGTACTAGTTATTTAGAGTACAAGTGTGTGTACGTTCTAATCACACGAGTGTTATAATCATGTTTAAACGCACGTGTCATGTACAACGTTTTATCTACAACCGAAAAATAAGAAAATGCTATTTTAATTTTCGTTTATTAGTCGCCCACTTTTAACACCTTTAACTATAACACTTGTCACATTTTTTTAATTATAATTGTCGGGAATTGTTACCTGCTTCAGACTATAGCTACAAACGTTGTTTATCAAGTAGAGAGTTGTTTTTTTCTGAAAAGTAAGTTTGCCCTGTCAAGTAAACGAGAGCACTTTTTGCCAAGAAAAATCATTTTAAAAATTACGACGAGCGATTCCGAAAGTCTCCTTTGAGATGTAGAAGTTGCTGCAGTACGTGCCACGGAGTCATTATTGCCGGAAATGTCGCGATCAAAATATGAAAAAACATACAACCAGTTTTTGACATGGTGTGATGACAAAAAGGTGAAAAATCAATGCAATGAAAAAGTAATTTTAGCATATTTTTAATATCTTGCACGGAAATACAGCGCATGAAGTCTATCAGCAGCAGGAATTGTTTTGAAAAAGTGTAAAAAATGTGTTATTAATATTTATAATAATTAGTAGTAGGAATTTGTATCAAAAATTAATATATTTAGATGTGTTCGTAGTTGTTTTTCATTATTATAAAAACTAGTTGTGTTATAGATTCATAACACCTGTTAGTTGTGTTATGATTCTCATAACGTAACTAAAATACTAAAAAAATAGTGATGTAAAAACGTTATAACTAAACGGTTGTAGATAAAAAATATTACATATTTATAGATACTGACAATTATACATGTTTTATATAAAATTAACAATTGGTTAATACAAATAATTACATTGCGGGAAAAATAGTTTCCCTGTTATTGTTTATACTTATACCTACCTACTAATGACCTATGACTTGCACCGATATTATATAGGCAACGAAAATAAACATTCTGCATAATATTTTAGTTTACGATTACCACTTCTTTGAAAGACAATTCAATAAATGTAGCTCCCTGTTCAAATCGTGAAAGTACATATAGGAGATTAGAAGAAAATAATTTAAAACACTTTATAAATATGTTGAATCTACAATAATTACTATACAGGGTGTTCCAGAAATAAGTGCAAATATTTGCTAGCTGGGAGTATAGTACGACCCCAGAAACACGCCCATGAATTTTTTTTGCAAAAAAAATGTTGAAAATATATTTTTCTTGACATCTTCGGGAAAATATTGATAACCTTTTGAGTACCGCTTCTTCACTTTCCGGAAATTTGTTTATAGCGCTTCTAGAGAATGCAATGTTGACACCTCCTACGTTATCCACATTCTGTATGTTTATAAGTTATAAGTTGACATTTTTAATACTTAAAAATACTTAAATTAATTTTATTTCCTGTAGATTTTTACCCATTGTAGATTACCATTAAGTATAGTGCAACTACTATTATAAATCCCTTTTTTATAGTTTAGTAAACTGAAATAATGAAACTAAATAATAAATAATTATCATAGCAGCTTTTCAACAGTTCAGAATCAGCGCCCTCTATTAGATATATAAATAGTCAACATTTTCCCTACATTTAAACAGATCAGCTTTTAGAATATCCAATTTATTTGAGATTTTACATAAAACAGTAAATCTCAGACAAAACTAAAAAAAATAGACAAATGTAAGGTACGCCTGTAAAAAAATTATTATTTTTCAAATAAAAGTGTCAATTATTTTGGTGCTTGATCACAAAAACAAGAGTGTGAGATAGAAATCGGTGTATAAATTCTCAAAAAATAATGCTAACTAATTCAGATGGCATATGAATGTATTTGTGCGTTCGAAATTTAGAGTTCCGATTTAAGGTAAAGCGATAAAACGACGCTCTAACCTAATTACGTCGATCTGCTATCTGAGTCTCGTTCTCTAATGTTAGGTAAGTTTTATTTTTAATTTGAATTTTTCAAGTCGTTTTTAAATATTTTTAGTCAACGTATCAACCCTGAGTAATTGTTTGAAATTTGCGGCTGATTATTGATTGCTGTCAGCGGCTCTCAAAATGTTCTCATTATTTTTTTTTTGAAATTTCAAAGTTAAATTATTTGATTATTATCAAATTATTTTAAAAACGGTAATGAAAAAATATGTTTCTTTTGGTCATATCTACCACCCCTTAAATACTTGCACTTATTTCTGGGACACCCTGTATAATTTTTCGAATTAAGTGTTTTGTCAAGATAACATTCTTTTTTAGCACAATATGTAAAGAGTCTGTCTTACAAAAGTACCATACGATCAAAAAAAGAACGGTGTCAAAGACGGCTAAAGAATGACAATCGATCATAATTTTGGTCAAGCCCTAGATGTCATTAGTTGGCCCATACTCTTCTTTATTCTTTAGTGGCACCTACTTTTTTACACAACAAGTAACAAGTTTTATGTCAATTTTTAAATAATGACGTCTAGGATTGACTTCTGTTTGAGTGACTTTTCGTCTAGGATTGACTGATGTTTTTTTTTCGGGCATATGGTATATTCTTAAATCTTTCTTTCACAAAAGCAGTGCGCATTCATACTGTTTTAATAGCAATAATAATAACAATAAATACTTATTGAACACCACTCTCCATCCTATATGTGTAATAAAACAAGTTATACCTACATCTAATATATATAATAATATAGAAAATGTAACAGCTGGGGTTTATAATAATATATTTATTATATTTATAAATATGTAAATATTATTATACCTATTGCATAGTAAATTAACAGACTCCTTTAAAAGTTTATGTATTTTGCAACCAATAGAGCTCGCTTACTAAGCAAACCTACAAAGTCTGTTCTCTACGAGAATTAACATTAAAATAAATACCGTGAAACAGCCAGCACTGGCTTGAAAAACAGACGCGGAACGAAGCAGCTAGCGTTAGTAACGACCCTTCTGGGACAGAAAATATCTAGTTAATTAATTTTTCGTTTAATTAAAGCTATTTTTCGTCCATAGTACCCAGGCTTAGCAGTATCCGGAATTAAAATAAATGAGATGGGGTAGCGTTTACTCGCCGGTCTAGTTTTTATTTTGTAGCTTCTTGCGATTATTCTCTCCCTCTTGCTTAATTAGGATTTTATTGGATAGGATTTATTAACGTCTTATTTGATTAAAAGCCACTACAAAATTTAATAGGAATAGTTCCACAAGTTATTTAACTTTTCGAGATCAAGGATTAAATATACTGCAAGATGCTCGTCTTTTTTAGTTAAAAAAGATGAGCCTTTTGGTAAGTGATTTATGTATTTTTTATAATAAAAATATACAGGGTCGCTGATATGCATTAGGTAAAATATACTACTACTGCAAAAAGTTAAATATAAAAGTTATATAGGATTTCTTAACGTCTATTGGCGAGTAATACATTTACAAAAAGTATACAAGGTCGGTCATAAAGTCATGGCACATCAAAGTTTTATTTTATTAAATATAACTCCCTGTATATTATTGTATATTTCAATTCTGTTTCCTAAGCAAAAATCGAAATACACACAATGTACAGGGTGGGCCAAATTCGACGCTTTTAAATGGAAGCACCCTTCTCTATAGGAGATAGACGAAAACTAATATCGGTGTCTGGAGCTCAAGTTTCATCAAAAACATGATGGTGAAAACCGCACATCAATATTTGTTACCGTTTCGGAGTTACGGGGTGTTTTTTAAAAATGTCCATTTTTAACAAATCGCTGTAACTTTTTTGCTATGGAAAATTTTGTATTTCTATGAAAACATTTCCAAAGCACCTTTTTATGTAGAATTTAATGGTTTAAGTATATTTTTTTTAACATTTCAAAATCAAAGCTTCCTAACTCGGTAATGGTTTAATTTAGATACAGCATGTGTATTACGATTATTGCTTAAAATTGAAGGAACAATTGAAATATGCAATAATATACAGAGGGATACATTAAAAAAAAACTTGATGTGCCACAAGTTTATTACGGGCCCTGTATACTTAAAGTTACTGCTTGCTAATAGACATTTAAAAACCCTATAACTTTTGTATATCACTTTTTTTGCGGTACCTTGTATATTTTACTTAAAAATCGACCTTTTACGAAAAAGCGACCCTGTATATTATAGAATCATAGATGTATTTATATGCAAAAACTCAATAAAACTTAAAATCTCTAAACAAATTCTTAATAAAATAAAACTTGTTTGTTTTTTTGAAATTAAGTAAAATCTGGTTATAAACTGAAATAAAAATGGTATGCTTTACTACATTTCATGCAGGCAATCAACAGACAGTATATTATAAATTTAGCTAAATATGGTTGTTACAATTTCTATGTCACTCAGTATGTTTATTGTAAATTCAGATATTAAGGACAATATCAGGACATACATATGCATATAGTATATAGTTTTGGTGGATCCAACACTACCAAATCGAAAGTAGAGAAAAAAATTTTTCTCTACTTTCGATTTTTCGAAATTAGAAAAAATACACAGCTAAAGGCAAGAAAATATTATTTATTAATATACACTAAAGCTGTAAGAATTTCGTTCATTTCATATATATTTGAGCGGGCCGAAAAACGCTCTTTACCATCTTTTGACGGGAGATGAACTAATATCTCACCGACACTTTACGACACCGTTTGTTGATAGAAGAAGTTTGCTTGCCGTATCGGTGAGAACCAGTGCCCTGGGCAGCCCACCTGATGAAGGGTAGGCCCAGAAACCGGTTGTGGAGTGGAGCTTGTTCCCTTTACGACAAGCAAAAACAATTTTCTTTTTACTTTTTATTATTTTTTTTCTCTACTTTCCATTTTTCGAAATTAGAACATCTGCTCAAAAAAACAAATTGTATTTTTAAATTTCAATCTAGAGCTGCCATGGCCGTGTTAAAAACACTAATTTTAATCAAAGAGCCTTGGAAAAATAAATTTGATCATCTAATGTTTTAGTGTCTTGTCCAGGCCGGGTAAAAGATGCCCAAATCGTATTTTTAATCACATCTCAATTTTTTCAAATGGAACGAAGGTGATTCGTTAGCATATTTGAAAAGCATTTTTTTACGAATAATTTGACACCACACACCTGGTATTTCTGAGTCAAATTGTCGTTATGGAACCGCAGGTTACAATTTCAAATAAACCATATATGCGAAAAATGTCAAAAGTTGAAATATTATATATGATTCTATTCAGAGTGTCATTTTCTATCGAATAAAGTAAAAAAATACTCAAGGGTGCCATTTAAAATCAAAGTTGGAGTCATTTCCGGTAAACTGGAAGTGACCGAAAACAATTGAATATGTCAATCAATCCTAATTTATGTCATATATTAACATACCGGATCTCGTTGTTTTATCTGTAAAAATAAAAAGTTATAGGAGTGAGCCACTTTTAGACGCACCCTGTATAAACGCTCAATTTGTAGATATTAGTTTAATTCAAATCATCTGCTGATGATGTTAACATAGTTGTGAATCCAGTACAAAAGAAAAAGTGTGTTTTTTTGTTTTTTGGTGAACTAGAGTTATTATGTTGCTGTTGCAAAACCAAAGGTTCAAACCCCCAACTGTAATTGATATTTTGATACTGAAACATAACAATCAATCGACTTCTCAGTAGTTGTTTAATCGTTAACAAGATTGCGTAAGCAACAAAAATGCTTAATATTTTATGAGATAAAATTCGGAAATAAGCCGTCGCGCGTCGTGTCGCATCTATCATAAAGTTGATATAAAATTCTCTTCGCCTTCTAAATCTAAAAATTGAAATGTTTAATAAATCCAATAAGTTCTAAAGGTAAAAATATCCTACATTAAACACAAAAGAACACGGTAAATCCTTTAAACAAATTAGAACGAACGAGTGAAAAACAAAACGTGGCGTAAAAGTACGATCTTTGAGGATCTGAAAATAGTCTCCTAATTAATTTTTTACTTTAATTAGAAGCCATTCCTACGCGGCGCCACTGAGCTTACGCTTGTTGGGGGATTAAAAATAATGAGACGGTGTAGTGTTGGTTGGCAATTGCAGCTTTTGTTCCTCGCTTTCCACAATTAAATTTTGCGTTTATTAAGTTTTAAGAGTGAAACTGATTGTTTTAAAAACCCAATATAAATTGCTCCTTTGGGCAAAATAGGGTCTTTTGTTTTAATTATGCCATTATTGTTGCTTTGTATATGTTTCTCTTTCTAGTTATTAAGTGAATAGGAGGCAATTACTTTTATATATATTTTCCATAGCATTGAAGTAAATCAATTTTTGTTCTCTTTAAAAGCAGCAAAAAAAGCTCTCAAACTATGAAAACATTTGATTTTTAAGAGTTCAACCTTCTTTAAGAAAAAAATCAACTACATCTTATTTTATTAATATCTTTTATTTTTTTTCTAAACCTTATCTTTTTACACCAACTAGAAACTTAAGAAGAATGTATTTTTCTCAAAAAGTTGATAATAAAAAAGTTTTTCTTCTATTTAAGTCGATCCGGGGATATAGTGTAGAGGTTATTCGGAAAATGTCTATTTCAAGGTATACAGGGTTGTTCACCACTTACAACATGGAGTATTGTAGCTAAACGATTAGATTTTTACAAATTGTAAAAATATCAAAGTTGTATTTTTTAAATGGAACACCCTGTATATTATTATATTTTTAGTTTCTACGATTTGGTACGAAAGGTAAATTTGATTAAGGTTAATCATACTTAAACCTTGCCGTTTGGTTTGGTTTGGTTTCAAATTTGTGAAATTGCATTTTAAGGCTTTTCCAACCTCCATTTCTCCAAAAATATCAAAATTTTTGACGTTAAATATTTACTGAAATTTATTTATTTTTATTTATTGATCAGTTATTGTGTTGCAATAATAAAAATAATACTACCTCATACAGAGTGTCTAAAAATTTATTTTAAATAATTTCTTACTTTAAACGGCAATAACTTGTTTAATTTAAATGGAACACCCTGTATATTTTAGGAGAATCAGTTCAAACAAATTGTATTATACCATTTTTTATCTAACTCTTCAAATTTTCGTAGAAAATGCATTTTCTTATAATTATTGGAACCTCATTTATGAATATACAGATGGAATATTGACATTTTAGATTTTTTTAAATAAAATATGTACAACATGCACAGGTGATAAAAATAATAATATTGAAAGCCCAAGTGTTTACAAAAAGAAAACTATTTAAATCTTTGAAAAGGAGTATACCAATTAAATATACCACCATTTTTTCGCCCAAAAATTAGTTAATTACATACTTGTTCAGTTAATGTAGTTTGAATATTGGGATCATACTAATTATTGTTCCTATTTAACTAAAAATATTTAAACAGTTTTTGTTTATTTTTTAATAAAATAATGGAACTATATCGATAATATTAGTATCTGTACTCTTTGAAAATTTGTCTTCAAATCTTTAAAAATAATCTAAACTGTCAATATTCCACGGGTATAGTGGCAAATGGGGTATAAATTATAAGAAAATGCATTTTTTACAAAAACTTGAAGAGATAGATAAAAATGGTATACTACAATTTGATAGACAATTAAATTGTGCATGTGATTCTCGTAAATTTGTAAAAATCTAATCGTTTAGCTACAATACTCCGTGTCGTATGTGGTGAACAACCCTGTATAATAAATACAATATTTTTAATACACTACCATATTTATAACAGGATCGGAGCTCCATATCTGATGCACAGAAGCCCGCCGCCGGGCAAGTCGCTCTACGGCAATGACAGATGGGAAGGATACGCCCTGGACCTAATGCAGGAAATATGTCACATTCTGAACTGCAGTTACACGTTCGAGGAAGTGCCCGACGGCAAATATGGAAACTATGATCCGGATAAGAAAGAATGGAACGGTCTTATTGGGCACTTGTTGAATAGAGTGAGTAGTCAATGTCACTGGTGGGTTTTATGCTATCATAGTTAAGTTTATTATTTTTATTAACTTTCCATTTTGCTTTAAGTTCAGTTTATTAAAATAAAATACTAATATAATGTTTTAGTTTATTTACTATAAAAAACTCAATGATGTACCACTAATCTATCTCAATAAATAAAACAAAGTGCGGTTAGTTACACCAAGAGTTTCATTGATCCGTTTCGTGAATCGGTACTTCGGTACGAAAACATGTAACGTTGGAACTTAATTTCAAAAACATTGGTGGAATGGATATTTTCGTGCATTATTATTGTTTATATGGTATAGTATAGAGCCAGATTTTTGAATAATTCAGCAATTCAACCTTTGTGTGGCTAATCCTGCAATTAAAAATCTCCCTTAGTTGAAATTTTGCCAAAACGAAAGTGTGTTGTAACTAATAAAATGTTTAAAGTTTTCTGATCTATTAAAAAATAATCTAATTTTGATTTCCTTTATATCTAATATTAACGTATGCAGCACACAAATATCAGTACTGCTTAGAAAGTAAAAAAAAAACTACTTAACACCTTTTCAATCACCTCATAATATCATCAGGCCGACATCCAAAAAAATTACAAAAAATAAAATGTACCTGTGAAAGTGGAAACCAGCTTGTCTGTGGTATTTTACTCCTAAAAAAATTGCCTCTTATAAAAAAATGTCCACCCAAATAACATACTTCACTGCTGCATTGTAACGTTTTTAGTTCGTTACATGTCTTTTGTATATGATATATGATGTCTGGCGTATCGTCACCCGATTCCGTATCGTTCAGGCCTGATAATTTATTTTGCACGCTTGTGTAATTTTTACGTTCTCTAGTCCACAACCCTGTTATTGTTTCACTGCTCTGTGGAGGCGCTGTCAACATCGCTTGAAGGTTTCGCTCTCTGCGCTGTGGACTCACTTTTGCTTTTGTCGCTCTGCGGTCACCTTCAGGGTCCTGCTTTTAGAAATGGTAATTTAAATCTTGCCGCAAAATCTGAATCAGCTGCCATTTCGAAGCTACAGGTAAAGATGAGATATCTTTATTAGATTCGTTATTATTATTGAATATTTTTAGGGTAGAGTTTTGGATTGGCCCACCTTAACTCGTATTTGTATTTTGCTGGCACGTTGGTTTTCTTTCGTTTTGTCCCCCAAAATGTTACATGGAAGAAAGGACAGTTTTTTTGTTTATTATTGAGCCCTCGGAAGTATTTCGAGGTAGGTTTATTGTGTTTATTATACATGGGCAGGTTTTAAACACGAGTTTCATGTTTTTAAGGTCCAAGGTTATGGTCCAAGGTACTGGCATTATCCAAGGTCCTAGTAGTGTTCCAAGGTACGGGTAGTGTTCTTATGTACAGATTTCCTATGGTTGGATGCCCTATGTACGGATGCTGCACTGTTTATTGGATTTATTTTGCATATTTGGTATATTCTATGATGTGATTTTAAGTGCTCCTGTCCATTTTTCAATTACTAAAGTGCCGATTTAGATCCATTTAAAATTAATTAATTAGTGTAGAGTATTTGTATTATGGGTTTGTTTATTTTTTATGAAATGTATTTTCTTCCCATTAAAATACGAGTAAATATACCGGGTGCGTCTCAAAAGTGGCTCACCCCTATAACTTTTTTATTTTTTCAGATAAAAAAACGAGATTTGGTATGTTTACTTTATTCGATCGAAAATGACATCCTGAATAGAATGACATACCATATGTCAATTTTTGACATTCTCGCTTCAAACAAAATTGAATTTTAAAATTCAATCTAGAGTGCCATGGTTATGTTAAAAACACTAATTCTTAATCAAGGAGCCTTGGAAAAATAGATTTGATTGTCTAATGTTTTTAGTGTCTTGTCCTGGCCAGTTAGAAAATGCTCAAATCGTATTTTTAATCATATCTCAATTTTTTCAAATGGAACGAGGGTGGCTCATTAGCATATTTGGAAAAAGCATTTTTTTACGAATAATTTGATACGGTCGTACGGTCCTGAAATTGTCACCCATGTAGGGATGGTTTATCTTATATATAGAGTGCCCCAGCGTGGATGTAGCTTGAGCCCCATGCTGCTTCTTTCCTATTTCTAAGCCTAGTCAATAGTTATGGTGTCCTCATCCTGGCCCCTTTTGTTGCATTGGCCGAGAGACACTACAGATATACAAGCCCACCTCACGCTGTTACTGTTTGAAGCAGGACTGTTTAAAGAGCAAGCAGCTAAGTGTAATTTTAAGTTTTGGTATAATGTTTACATTTTCAGTCTTGAATAATATCGTACAGACTTTACGTTTAGTGATTAACCGTTTTATGTCAGATTAGTATGTAAAATATGATTTAGATCTTAGTTTCGTTGCCAACATTACGTTTTGTAATAGTATTACTTTCTATATGTATTATTGTGTCATTTTGACAGATGAATAACCGAACAGTTTCTAGAATTTACGGGTTGCAACATCTCAGATTTAATATCGTATAAAAATTTAACAAATTAATTAAAGTAATGCTATCTTTTATACATTTTCTTCCAAAGCCTAATCTATATTGTATTTTTCTATAGTCTTTTTCATTGAACATATTTAGTACTATTTTATTATTTTAGTAACATAACTTTCTTCGACCTATAATCACTATATTTATTAAGATTCTACAATGTTATTTACCATCAAAGAACATCATGAATAAATATAGTCATTAGTTTTAAGTATTATACAACTGTGTTTTCTTTCTTTGTACATGCCTGGCGCCCAATATCTATATTTTTTGTTTATTGTTATTAATTAGTTTTCTTTCCAGTGAAATACCTTAACCACGACTGCTCTCCGATGAAAAGCTGCCGTTCGCAGTGGTAGTTGTTTAAAAAACGCTATAGCCTGTATTTTAGCCAAAAGTAGAATATTTCATTTGCTTGTCCATCAAAAATTAACACTTTATTCCCACAGCCAGATAAGTCCATGAGTTAGAGGAAATTATTCTTTGATTTTCCATTGCCCGTTTCCGGCAGATAATCCCATTCCCCACGGAGTTTTCAGACGTGGTTTGTTTTATGGCGTAATTATTTCTCGGATTGAAATTTAAAACGCCCGGTAAAGTTCGTTCCTTCGACCTGTTCTATTGAGTGAATAATTTAACAGTTCCAAAATGAGAATACGAAGAAAAAGGTAAATTGAAGGTAGAAAAGTTTGCGTTGTTTTCAGTAAAGCAAAATCCAATCTAGTTCACTACTCGTAATATATCGTAAAGCCGTTAAGAGTAATGGGTACCTTTATGTAAATTCGAATTATTACACTGAACTGCAAAATAGTTATAGCCTGTCCAACGACAAGATCATTTTGGCAGCCGATATTTCAGCAGCCGACTATTTTTAATAAAATAAAAACAGTTTGGATACCTAGGTCGACTCACAGTTTGGATACCTAGCCTTAAATGAGTACTTGGGATTCACAACCCTGAGGTAATAATAGGCGGTTGAAGCGTACTGCTAGCCACATTACCTTCCTTGTATACCGAACGGCTCTAGAATGGCAAGCTGTACCTTGCTACTCTCAAGGCGTTAAACGCTATATACTAGGATATACAGACCGGACCACCGCAGTAGTAACATAGGCAGAACCGGACGAATTAGCGTATACACGTCCGCCGGATAAAAAGCAGGCGAAGAAATGTGATAAAATAAAAATAGGTAGATATGTGATAAGAATGTTTCAGAATTTGTATTTATTCGTGTTTTAATAGCCAAAACGAATACATAGATTCTCGCGACAGTTCTCGTGTAAAATTTATTTTTTAAGTAAAATAATGCATGTTTACGAAGTTCGTGAGAAAATTCAAATTGTAAAATGCTATTTCCAAAATAGGTCTTATCGGAATATACAAACAATTTTTCCACAAACTTTTGTAAACAGGCCAATTCCATCTTTACCTACTGCATCAAGAGTTATTAATAATTTTGAAACACATGGGTGCGTGTTCCCACAAAAACACAAAAAGCCTGATGTGTTGATTAATGAAGAACAGGAGTTAAAGCAAGTGTTCATTTGTGCTACCGCGAATTAACTTATTGAATGTCAAAGTCACCTTTTCTTTAAAAACTACTTTTATTTTTGAATGAATTACATTTAAGTTTTATTTAATTATATAAAATCTAAAAAATTGACATCTGTTTTAAAAACTAACTAGCTTGAAGAGCTCGTGCGACAGAGTGTAAAAAATAGAATCTGTACTTGGAAAAATGCTAGTCTATTGTTGTCTATTCAGCACTTATACACACACACACACACAATATAACTCCTCCCTTCTCAGAGACAGCTATACCGATTGAGGGGGTAGCTGGATATTTCTTGAAGGTGGTGGTTGAACGTCACGTCGACATCTGGGGAACTTCTTATACATCAGGTAGATGCAAAGGATGAAAATTACCAGGTACAAAAGTAGTGTCCACAGGCTTGGATATTTGCTGACTTCGTCAAATACCAGGTGTGGTTGATTTTCAATTAGTTGATTTTTCAATGTGTGGAGATTGTCGAGTCTTATTTCAGATATTTGGCTTGTTAAATGTAGAGTCGGTAGGATCTTATCATCTTCAGTAACATAGTCGTCGAATAAAATCAATTGATTGGTAGTATTGATTATTTTCCTTTCATTGATTACTAATAAATCGTTCACTAAGGTATTTCAAAGACCTTGAAATTTAGCTCTCTCTTCTTGTTTGAAACATTTCAAGTGTGCTTGAACTTCATAAGGGAGTACAACGAGCCATTGGTTTGTATTGTCTAGTTGATTGACAATAGGCTGTGTTATTTTTAGTTCGACTTGCTTACAGTTTTTATTGTTTGTTTTTGATTGCAATAATTGAACTGAACATGGACTGTTGTAGCTTACTTCTTTAAGAGGGGTGTCGCAGATGTAATAACTATCCATTGCTTCTTTGCAAAGTTCATTTTCGAATGCATATTGCAATTGACCTTTTATCAA